TTAAAGAAAACAAGTTCAAACGAGGAAGATTGAAAAAAAGAAACCTTCGTCAAGATTAGAGATGAAAATCGACAAAGTCAATTCAACAAAGAGTTCTTTGTCGGTACTATAAAATCTCAAGGATGTGCGTAAATGCTACTGAGAACTAGTGTACAGTTTCCATTTGTAGAACACGGATGTTAGTTTTAACCATTTTTATGTTAATATTCATGGCCGCCTATTTGAAACCTATAAAAACATAAAAAATAAATAAAATTACGGATAATTGTCTTTTTAATTAATCTTGCCATTAAAAATGAATCGTTTCACCATCAATGGATCTCGTCGACTAGGGAGAACCAAGTCTCAAAGAAAAGATTTTCATTGAGGTTTTATTGAACTTAAAACGAAATAATTAATTAATTTTCTTCTCTTGGCATTTTTTTTATACAAAAGATCGATACCAATAAACTAGAATTTATTATGCCGACCCTGACGCGGGTTTAATTAGGGCGAACTCTTTCCAATTTCGTCAAACAACAGACTACCGCAGAGCTTTTGAACCCAATATTCGATGCGGTTTTCAAGGACCGAGGGCTGTTTTAAATATTAATTAATATTACGAACAGTGGGAAGGCGATCTGCGCAAATTCCGCCCTTTTAATGATTGCCCTTTGATTTTCATTGGGCTAAGGTAAACGTGAGAATAACTAACCGAAAATTAACTTGGTCTTTAATTAAGCAAGTTTGTTTTTTAAAGGTAATTTTCCGGATTGTGGTATTAAATCCCTCGTTTGAGCATTATAATGTTTCTCATATAGATTAAAAGATGACAAACTGGCTAAAAATTCTAAATTTTTTTTTTTTTTTTTTTTTTTTATAAATTATAAAGGCAACTCAACCATTTAGGTCATTTTTTGCCTTGATAATTATCCATAAGGCACACAAGTGTCGTAGGCCAGAGTCCGGCGCAAGCCACGAAGCCCCCGGGCCGGTGCAAGGGCGAAAGAGCGTCGGATGTATTATTTCCTTACTTCTTACTTCTATTGTCCTACTAGGCCTTCCGATGGACGTGCGGGTGCTGCGCGCCCACTCCCACGTCCATCCCAGGCCTCGGGCTTCATTTCGCCCTTGTAGGCTCCTCCGGCGCCCCCCGCCCCAGCCGGCCACACGGCCCCGCACCCCGCCGATCCCGAGCCTCACGAGCCGAAAAAAGTCAATTAAATTTAATACAATTTCTACGCGTTCCCGATACCGGACTCAACATCAATGAAATGACACTATATTTTTGACATAAGCGCCGATTCCCTAAGAAAAGCAAACAGATCGGAAATGGAACCATCGTCACTAAGGGTGCAGTAAATATCGTCTGTTAGTTTGTGTTTGTCTCTTAATTGGTTATATGTTCTGCATTCAGTGAGTATGTGTTTCACGGTTAGAAGCACGCCACAAGTCGTACAGTTCGGGGGGGATTCACGTCTCATGAGGTACTCATGGGTGATTCTACAGTGTCCTATTCTCAACCTCGCAAGTACAGTTTCCTCTTTCCTTGATTTGCGGGAGGAGGAGTTCCATGCAGTTACACATGGTTTTATTTCACGTAACTTGTTGTTTGTGATGTTGTTCCATTCCCTTTGCCATTGCATCCAGATGTTACGTTTTATCATGGAGCTAAGGTCACTACGTGAGATCTCGTTGTACCTGAGTCCTTTGGCTGTGGCGACTTTGGCAGCCTTGTCAGCATTTTCATTTCCTATAATATTACAGTGACTAGGTATCCACATAAAATCTACGGCTACTCCCGAATTTTTATGATTCCTTAAAGCGTAATATATTCCTTGTATTAGAATATTATAGGTGAAAAAATTTTGAATGGTGTGTAAAACGGACAGGGAATCAGTGCAAATTATTATTTGTTTTTTCGAGGTATCGCATATGTTAACTGCCTTATATATGGCAAGCAACTCCGCAAAGAAATTACTACAAATGGGTGAAAGTGTGAAATAGAAATTTCTTTCTTCACATACAAAGGCAGCCCCGACTCCATCCAGGCCTTTCGATCCGTCTGTGTATATGAATGTGGCGTTGTTAAAATTACTTTTTATATTCAAAAATTCTTGTTGGTATTGTATGGGAGGTGTTGTATTTTTTGGGAGTTTTGTAAGGGATAAATGTATATTGGGTTTAGGGAATAACCAAGGAGGGGAGCAACTTGCAGTTCTGTCTTGAATTTTCTTAAAGTCTATGATGGATGATCTAAATTTTGAGATTATATGAGAGGCACGGATTGGAAAATGTTTTCTTGGGGTATTGTTGTATTCTTCTGCGGGGATGAGCCGTTTGGCCGGAAAGAAGATATTGAGCGGATGCGAAGGCGTAGACAGAATAGAGGCTAGGAACTTTGCGTCTAACAGTCCTCTGCGGTAGGTTAGTGGCAGTTCACCCGAATCGACATATAAGCTATTTACCGGGCTCGACCTAAAAGCGCCGATTGCTAGTCTTATGCCTGCATGATGTACACTGTTTAGCATGCTTAGATGTTTCTGAGAAGCTGAGCCGTACGCATTACAGCCGTAATCCAATTTTGAACGTATTATTGTTCTGTACAGCCTAAGCATACTTATCCTGTCAGCACCCCACGAGGTGGAGCTAACAGTTCTAAGAACGTCTAATGCTTTATTGCACCGAGCTTTCAATGCTTTTATATGATATGACCAGTTCAGAGTTTTGTCATATATGAGCCCTAAATAGCATACCGAATCTGAAAATCTAACTGGTTTTCTGTTTATCATTAATGAGGGAGGTGATATGGGCTTTCTTTTGGCGAAAAGGACTGCAATCGTTTTAGTCTCAGATAGTTTGAATCCATTATTCATCAGCCAGTTAGTTACATCGTTAAGTGCATTTTGCATATTAGATTTCAATGTATCGATGTTTTTACCCGTACAATAAATAACAATATCGTCTGCGTATAGCATGCTACGAACAGGTAATTTTACTTGTTCCGAGACCTTATTCAGTGCTAAACAGAAAAGTAGCGCACTTAGGACACATCCCTGTGGTACGCCATTCTCTTGTTGAAATTCTCTGGAAGAAGAATTACCACATCTGACTTTAAATCGCCTTGACTTAAGGAAATTTTCAATAAAGGTGAGGGTGTTACCGACTATTCCATATCTTCTTAATGACCCTATTATTAGAAATTTAAGAGTGCGGTCAAAGGCATTTTCTAAGTCAAGAAAGACTGCCAATAGTTTTTCTCCGCTATTAAAAGCATATAGTATCTCAGCTTCCAAGTTAACAAGATTATCTCTTGTACTCCTATTTTTTCTGAAACCGCTCTGCCAGGGAGGGAGGAACGAGTTGTGTTCTAAAAACCATGTCAATCTGTTGGCTATGATTTTTTCTAACACTTTACATAATGAGCATGTGAGAGATATAAGACGGTAGCTATTGACTTCATGAGCCGGTTTATTCTTTTTAAGGATAGGAATTGCTGTCGCACAAGACCAAATCTTTGGGAAAACACCTGATAGAAAGATTTTGTTTAAAATTTCTAAAATGATCATTTTATCAGCCTGTCTGAGATTTTTTATCATGGCAATACATATATTATCTGGTCCAGGGGCAGTATCTTTCCGCGAATTCAGGGCTATAGTGAATTCGTCATACGAGAAAGGTAAGTTTAGGGGATGATATGCATTGCAATCCGGAGGAGTATTTATCGCTTCTATTTCAGTTTTTCTTTGTTTTATATGTGGTGGATAGTTCTTTGTAGCTGATATTTCGTAGAAGTACTGACCAATAAAATTTGCTATTTCTTCTGGGTTATTAGTGTACGCATTGTTACTATTTTTTAAGCATGTAATTGGATTATATTGTTTTTTACCTACAATTTTCCTGATTGTATTCCAATATACTGAGAGTGGTGTATTTGAATTTGTTTTCTCTAAGAATTTTAGCCAGGATTGTTTCTTACTTAGTTTAATGATATATCTCGCATGTTTTTTTGCTGTTTTATATCTTTCTAAGTTTGTGGTCGATGGTCTTCTAATGAATCTGGACAGAGCTTTACCTCTTGCTTTCAGGGCTTTATCGCATTGATTATTCCACCATGGCACCCGTTTTTGCTGGGGACAAGATATCTTACTGAGTGGAATTGCCCTGAGGGCAGCATCTATAATGGTTTTATTGAGGTTATTGATTATTTGATCTATTTCATTTTCCAGATTTATCTTTTTAAGATCGACGTTTGTTTTATATAACGGCCAGTTCGCTTTATGTAGTCGCCATGATTGGGGAGAGCAGTAGGTAGGGGTGTCGTTTAAAGATTCAATTAGGATTGGGAAATGATCACTGTTGTATCCGGTAATCGTACGCCATGTAAATAGAGGGTTGAGACTAGGGCTAATTATAGACAGATCTATGTTTGACAGTTTTCCCGATCTTATGCAAACATGTGTAGGGGAAGTATCATTTAGAATATTAAGGTTAGTTTGGTCCAAGAATTTTTCTACCTCTTTCCCTTTAGGATTATTGTTTTCTCCTCCCCATAAGCAATTGTGGGCGTTAAAGTCTCCTAATATCATAACTGGTTTTGGTAATTGATTATATACATCAGTTAAGTCGAGGGCTGATATGTTTTGGCTTGGTGGTATATACAACGAGCAGATTGTAAACTGGGGAGGATTGAGTATTCTTATTGCGATTATCTGTAATTGGGTAATTAGGTTGAGTACTTTAAAAGGTATACTATTTCTAATCATTATACAGACTCCACCACTGGCAATTCGATTCTGGACATAATCCTTTCTTAGAGTCGTAAAATGTCTAAAAGCAAATTTATCTTCAGGTTTTAGTCTAGTTTCCTGTATACATAGGATTGAGCTATTTAAGTGGCTTACCAGTAGTTCTACCTCATGTCGATTTGAAATCAGACCATTTATATTCCACTGTATAATGTTCATTTTGTCGACTATTTGTTATTTGTTTTGTAAGTTGTTTAATTTGTTTTATGTTCTTTTGAAGATATGTTTCTCATTTTATAATAAGATTAACAGTAAGTAGTTACATTGTGTCTAGGGTTTTACAAAGGTATAGTTTTTATAGTTAGCTTTGATTCATTTTAGCATGTTTTTTGGTTTTGTTTAATTCAGTGCTATTCGTTTTAGGTCCAGTTTTCGTGTCAGTAGTGCTTTTTAGGGTTGTGCTGCCATTACTGTAGGTGGATTCTTGAGAGGCGGGTCTGTCTCGTTTTATTGTTGTTCGGGAGTCAGTTAAATGTTTTAAGGTCAGGGGTTTTAAGTTTTGTGTTTGTGTGGAGCCACTTTGAGGTGGCATTTTTATTATTACATGTTTGTTTTCCCTAGCATTTCCTTGGTTTTCGAGGAGGTTTATTTTTTTAATAATAAATTCTATTGCATTGCTAAGTTTGGTAATTTGTAAGCTCAGATTTTCAATGTTTCCTGGTGCAGATGTTTGTTCAGCGTGTTTATCTGTACTTTGCTTATTATTAGAATTGGAGTTCGAGATATGTTCGTTTATTTTATGAGTACTGCAGTGCTGCGAGGTGTTATTCTGGTTGTTTGTACACGTAATTTGAGCGTAGGTGACAGATTTTTGTAGTTGTGCTTCCCGTTTTTTCAAAATGTTTTCAGCTTGATTAAATGATACTTTTTCAGAGCAGCGTATCTTTTCTATTTCTTTTTCCCTAATATATACTGAGCAGCTTTTATCGTATGCTGCGTGTGATCCGGAACAATTTAGGCAGTGAGGGGGATTTGGGCAGTTAGCAGTATCGTGAGAATTTTCTCCGCATTTGCCGCAGTTAACTATTTTACAGAAATTTTTGATGTGTCGGTAGCGGAAACACGAAAAACAAAGCAGTGGGTTTGGTTCGTATGGCCGTACTTTAACTTTTAGAAAATCTAAGACTATTTCTTCCGGTAGGGTTGGTCTTTCAAACGTAATGATAAGGGTTGCGGTAGGGATTTTCACTTTATTTACAGTTTTAAATATACGTCTAATATTTGAGACGCCTTGGGATTTTAATTCTGCTAAGATTTCGGTGGTCTCACAGTTGATAAGTTCCCTCACAGAAATAACACCTCGTGAGAAGTTAAGAGATTTGTGTAGTTCAAAAATAATAGGTAAAGTGTCGTACGTTTTTATATTTTGGAGATTAATAAAATCTTTTTCCTTATCAACATCGAGTAAGATTGATCCGTTTTTTAGAAATTTTAAGGAGGTTTGTGGGCAGAAGCTCTTAACGAATTTACATATTTTAAAGGGGCTGAAATCGTTAAAAGTCTTTGAAGTCATGTTTTTATCAAAAGACATTATAAGGTATTTTTTGCACCAAGTAGATTTCAGTTTGAAAATAGATTCGGCTTTATCAGGAGGTAAAGGGTCAAAGGGCATATGCCCAGACCTCGTCTCTATCTCCATCCAGAGACGTTGAAAATGTGACGGTGAAAACCAAAGCGTAAATTACTCGTATAATTTACACTAGTAATTTAAAAAAGAAATAATTATAAAATGGGTCTACTTCCTGCTTAAGGAACAGGATCCTGTGTGATATCTGACGACGATGTTTACTCGGCCAAGGATAAACACAGACTGAAAATTCTAAATTTAAAATGGTGAAGAAAGGTATACTATTTTATTTTACCTTCCGTTGAAAATTGAACTATCATCACAAAATATGTTCAAAGCCAAAAAATAACGGACACTTATATTTTGATTTTGATTTTAAACTATATGGATTTTTATTGTTACATTAATTAAAACATCGGCACTTATTTTTATGTAAAATAAATTAAACGAGATCAAAAATTCGTGACTTTAATAAAAAATTATTTATGATAGTTTGAAAGAAAATTCACTAAAACAAAGGAAAATCGTTTACTTAAATTTATTCTATCACTAAATGATTATCCGGTGTGTTTTGGTGAATTTTCTTTCAAACTATTATAATTTTTTTTTTTTTAATCGTCTGAATTTCCAGTTTTCATTTAAGTAAGTATGTTGTAATCTATATAATGCTAAAAATACACACATATAGTTTGAAATAAACAATAAAATAAAAGTGTTTGTTTTTTATCTCCTTTAATTGTATATCGATTCTTTTTTCAGATAAGCTGTTCCGGCTATAAATTCAAAGTTATCAGCATTCCTCGACAACTACAATCTCAGATCTATATGACAGTGGATAACATCTAAATGGATGCGCACCAGGCAAAAATAAATGTTGTTGTTAATCTTCTTTACTACTGCGAACCCTTATCGATTGATTTCGCATAAAAAATTACCAAATGGCATCATGGCAATTAATTATTAAGTAAAAGCTTAATTTCGACTATATAAAATCATTATAAATGTAAGTATGGAAAATGGATAAAAACAATCGCCCAAGGTTATTTATTTCGATTTTTTATTTTAAACATAATGTGTAATATGTATTTCTGTGTATATAAAGTTGTTCGTCATGCAATCATTTTATTTTATTAGTATTATTATTTATTGGATTATAAAATTTGTCAGAGTCGATTATATTATTAATATTTTAACTTTTTTAAGAAATTAATTAATTTAATTTTGGACTTTATGTTATTAAAACAAGGATAATACCATTAAATTTGGTTGGGAAATAAAATCACTAACGAAACTCCATGTCATGGCTTTCACACAAATAAATTAACTTATGGTGACTAAAATATTTGTGTTGTTCAAATAAACTAAATGTTTAACTAAAAAAGCTTAACATATGTAGAAAACTTCAATGAATTTCACTACCCCTGAAATTTGATTATTAATTCAGATTTTATGTAATCAGTCCGAAATTTCTGTATCTGTTTTAGACAGAATTTTGACTGCAGTTCGCAACTAAGAGGGCGAAAACCGCTCATATTTTGCCAGTTTTCTCATAAATCGTTCAATCAATCTGAATAAAATTTTACAAACTTGTTTCCGAATGTGTTGTAAATTGTTTGGATACCAAATTTTATTTTAAAGTTAGAAATTTTAATTTGATGAGAATTTAAAGTTTGTAAAAAAATTGTCTAATTTTCTAACTAAAAACTTTTTTGTTATCATAAACTGTATAGTATTTTTTTATTTCCTTAGCCATAACAACTCTAAATTATATATGAAATGATTATAAAAGTTGATAATCCAAATCAGTTGATCACGTTTAGAAAAATAATCTTTTATACGTGAAAAGTTGATTTTTTTAGGAAGGGATGCCCAAAAAACAAAACACGTGTTTTACATGACAGGTTTAGATACGATTCACGTATTTAAAAAAAGGAAAGAAGAAATTAAGGAACCACGCATGACCCGTACGTCTGTTTATCAACAAAACATCATCAGAGTGTACAAAGGGTAAAGGAACTATTCTCTGCTTTGTTTCAATGTCTTTGTTGATTTACAAGAAATTTTTCAACTTTCACTCAGTCTTGTAGTGAATACGATGGAGTGTAATTTACGATAACGGGATCCTGGGCAAAGGGAACATTTAAATATTTGTGCGTAGTTTTATTTCATACATAATAAACTGCTCAAATGAATAGGGATATTTCTAGTTTATTCTTATTCTAATAATTTTATTGAAATTAACCAATGTATTATTGTTAGTTGGATAAATCAAGATAAAAAATACGAATCGAAAACAAATAAATCTTTTTTTCGATCAATTTTAATAACGGATTTACTTAAGAATAGTAAACACGAAGATTACCCATTTTGTAAACAAACAACTTTGCTCGTTTTTTCTCAGTTTTAATACAGTTGTATTCTCTTTAACCATGGAAAGACATCTTAAAACACAAGTAAATAGTATTGTGACAATAAGTCATCGAAGTCACCGGCAAGTGAGTATCGCAGAGGCAGTTGGCGTGTCTCAGAGCGTGGTCTCCCGGGGTTTAGCCCGATTCCGAGAAACTGGAATTGCCAATAGTAGGGCTGATAGTATATTTTCATTGCTTCAAGACGGAACCATTTTCATAGTTCCCGCCAGATCCTAAATGAAGTACAAAATGTTCTGGCAAGGCCTTCAACACAAATGATTGTGGGTAGACGACCTCACATCGTATGACTATTTGAGACGACCTGCAGCAACAGCCGCCACCAGCAACTGAGGAGAGTGTGGTGCAGCGAGCGCCTAGAAGATAACACCAATTGGAATGCTGTTATGTTAATTGATGAGTCGCGTTTCTGTCTGTATAGTGATAGCAGGTGCCAAAGAGTCCACTGAGGACAGGGGTGCGTCAATGCCCCAGGGCCTATTCCCTTCAGTGCAGTTTGGAGGAAGCGGTGTAATGGTCTGGGCTGAGATTTACACAGAGAAAGAACTGGACTCCATATTGATAAAGGCAACCTCACCCCCATAATATCTAAGAATTTATCGAGGAATACATCCATGAAACCGGGGATCTCTTTGGCAGGGATTTTCGATTTCTAGATACAATGCCAGACCTCATAGAGGCAGAGTTGTTTTCAACGTTAGAAAACCTAGGAATTTCCCATCTGCTCCATCCCACATTGTTTTCAGACCTCAATCCCATCAAGCACATGTGAGATCCATTGCAGAGGAGGCTTTTCGGATAACCATCCGCAGCCAGTTGACCTGCAACTACTGAGTGCAGCATCTATGGAGTGAAATTCCTTATGAAATTAGTTAACAGTAATCCTAAATGGTGAACAGAGGTTTTAGCTATCAGAGGACATTATACACGGTATTAATTGTTTAAAAAAACTTATTATGTCTAATAAACTTATGGGATTAAAACCTTTTATTTTGTTATTTTTCAAAATCCCTTAAAAAAATTCCTTCTGCTAAACCATAATAATTTCTAATAAAGATTAATTCAATTAATAATAGAAATAAAATAAAAATGCTAAGGAAAGTAAATAAAACAAAATTGGCAATATTCCTATCCATTTTTGAGCAGTTTAAATAGACGCGTGAAAATGTAGGGGGTATGTATTAGATTGAACATTCTGAATACGGAAAATGCTAGGGCGACCAAAGACTTCGTCATCCTATCCATATTGGTTTTAGTATGGAGTTTTAAAATTGTCTTTTGTTGTGCAGAGAGAAATTACATAGTTTGACAAGAAGCTGCGAGAGAATTTAGAATAGTTTGATCGGTTGTTGTTATTTAAGGCGCAAGTGTGAATTCCACGTCAGTCGTTTTTCTATAAACGTCCTTACATATTGCACCTTGTCCACTGTTGGAAGAGCAAGGGGTTAGTGACATAGAGACTACCTACTACTAGTGTTAGTTAGTGACTACCTCTACGAAGGGTAAATGTAACATGTAGATTAGGTGTTAAATTTCATTTTTTCACACGAAGTCTCGAGTAGTGTGACATGTTTTTTAAGATATCAAGTGGAAACAACAAGATCAGAGTTTTCTACTAGGATTGCTCTATCGTTTGCAAAGGTCAGGCATGAGTTGAAGGATGGTATGTCAGCTGTGTAAACCTGGTAAGGTGTTAGGATTAAACACTACACCCTGATGAACACCAGAGTCGACAAGGAATTGCCTATGGTAACTGTAGTTTAACATAATAGGTTGGGTTGGAACAGCAAGAACTCGAGTCAAGAGCATCCTTCGAACAGTCCTTGGAGCAACTTTATGGACAAATACTCTCTTCAGTCCTTGGTTTGATTGCGCCTTGCCTCCAATCGTTTTCGAAAGAGTATCTGATTTGTGGTCTCAAAAACATTCTAGGTCAGCAACGAGGTATTGCCATATACTAATATGACTATATGAGCTGATTCAGGAATTGAATTGGCAGTAATAAAATCTAGTTGTGTTTGATGTTTAGCATTAACTATGTTTTATCTTTCATTTTTGGTTGATTAAATATGTAATTTTTGACAGACAAACCCGACAGAAGGTATATTTCTTCCCATGTCGTATTGACAAACAGAAGCACAATAGGAAAAAACATATAGTGAGAAGTCTTTCATAAGAGATACTGAGATATGGTGCATAAAATATGTTTTGTTACATTGATCACTTGCAATTCACATGGGTATAAGAAAAATGGTATAGAATGAACAAAGTAAGGTACGACGAACCGTACCGTTTGTACTTTTGTGAAAATATAAATTGTCGATAGTTTTTTAGCTGATGGAGTTGGGGCTGATTTGGCTTAGTAGAAAAAGTTGCAAGTTTCATCTAAGTCGATCACGATCATGTTGAAAAAAAATTATGCACTCGTGACGGCCGGGGATTCGACGCACCGTTAAACATCGTGGTAGATGAGTTTCAAAAGCGATGAAAAAAGTCAAACGCCTACAAATGAACGTGGTTTACTGGGATTTTACCGCACAATAACGGAAATAGATAAGAAAAGGTGAGCCGTGAATCCGCTACCCCACTTCGGTGACGGGTTTATTTCAAAATTATCGCCGAGGTGACTTACCTGGGGAAAAGTTTGTGGCAGTTCAGATGGCCCCAACCTCTTGTAAATTCGGTGAACAGCTTCTCCAGGGCCTGCTCGACGGGAAATTCGCCCATCATCAATCGTAAACCAAGGCTGAAAACAATTAAAAGACAACTCTTTAAATGCTAATAGTAATAAAAATAAAAATATGAGTTGGAGATAAATAGCACTGGGACAGAAGTGGGCGTGTAGGTCAATATGGTATTTACGCCTACATTGATATTAAACTCAGAGTTCAAAATAAACATCGTATATACTTTATTTTTCAAAAGATCTCTCACAAACTAATTCGCAGAAAACACTCATTTTTCATTCAAAAAAAGCTAACTGTTTACAATGTCCGGTTTTATGGATTGCCAAACTGATAAAAGGTCACAAATCATAATTACAAATGCTTTTATTGGAAAATAACTAAAACCTTAATATATGTAAAAAACTTGAAATTAAGTACCCCTGAAATTTGATTATTAATTCAAATTTTATGTAATCAGTCCAAAATTTCTGTATCTGTTTTGGACAGAATTTTGACTGCAGTTCGCAACTAAGAGCGGCGAAAACCCCTTATATTTTTGCAGTTTTATCAAAAACCGTTCAATCAATTTGAATAAAATTTTATAAACGGAATGTGTTCTAAATTGTTTGGATAACAAAATTTATTTTAAAGTTAGAAATGTTAATTCGATCAGAAGTTCGTAAAAAAATTGTCTAATTTTTTAACTAAAAACATTTTTGTTATCATAAACTGTATAGTATTTTTTTAAAATTCCTTAGCCATAACAACTCTAAATTGTATATTTAATGATTATAAATTTGATAATCCAAATCAGTTGATCACGTTTAGAAAAAATGCACTTTTATATGTGAAAAGTTGATTTTTTTTTTTTCAGGAAAGGAAAACTTAAAAACTCATAATTCCTACCAAAAAGACATCGGTATTGCGTTTTAAATCTAATCTTGGGCTTCTTCGATGGTTTTTGGCCAAGTAACCATCGATTATCACGGCAGAATTTCACTACAAGCATTTCATTTTGGTCACGTTTGCCTGCAATTCAACGACAATAATATTTCCATTCTCGAGTGTCCGAATTAAAGGGAATCCGTTTTATTGCTGAAGCTGTAAAAAAATCGAACATGGACCGAATAATAAGAGCAAAAATCTGCTGCCAAGTGATCGCCAAAAAGCACGAAAATTGAGCTTCAGAGCCAAAATAGTTGGCAAGTAGACGTTGATGGATTCTCCAAAATTTCTAAATAAATCATAAAACAAATTGGTTTTATTTTTTTACATGCCAGTAAGTACAAAAAGAGTTAGCAAAACATTTTAAAGAGAAAAGAACACGAAAATGGCCAAGCTGTTTGTACACATTGTATTCGTCTCTTCGCAATTCATCAATAATTTTAAAAAATAATCTTAGTGCTGTTTTTTGAAAACAGCATTAGAAAAACTGGATTTTTAAGCAATTTTGTTTTTTAATTTTGTTCTCCTTCTTTTTTTAATGAATAGTTTTATTTCTTCGTTGCTTTACGCCATTCTCCAAGGTGAATGGGAGTCAACCAAACATTCCAATAACCGTAATACGTAGATGATATGTTGACAGCAGTTCCCACAGAACAAATTCAAACTACATTAATACATTTAATAGCTTTCACCCACGCCTACAATTTACACATGAAACCGAAAACAACAAAAAAATACCATTTTTAGATATACTCGTAATAAAACAACCAGATGGCACATTAATCACAGATTGGTACCAAAAACCAAGAAACACAGATCGCTACCTCAACTTTAAATCATACCATCCTCTTCATACAATAATAAACACAGCCAAATGGTTACTTCACAGAATGATTGCCCTAAGCCATGGATGATTTCACCACAAGAACATAAAGATATACAACAGATCCTCCATAACAATCTCTACCCTAAACGCATTATTAACAGAATAATCAACAACTACAACTCAACACTAACACCATCCACTATTACTAATAATACTACATTAAGTCTATCAAATAAAAACAAACCAGCATACATTTCCGTGCCATTTATTCAAGGCCTATCACATAAATTAAACACATTTCTCTCGTCCGATAAATTCAAAATAGCTTTCAAAAATTATAAAATAATCCAAACACTTTTTTCCAAAATTAAAGATTCCACACCAATAACAAATAAATCTGACGTAATTTACAAAATCAATTGTTTAAACTGTCCGGCAACTTACATCGGTCTTACATCCCAATATCTGGACAAGAGTGTAAAGTAGCATATCTATGATTGCAAAAAAACCCAAGCAAAATCCTACAGCACTCGCTATCCACCATTTTGAACACCAACACAATTTCGACTTCAAAAATCCAAAAATATTACATTCAGAACAAAACAAATATAAACGTAATTTCTTAGAAATAGTTTATATCAACAGAGATAAACACAGCATCAATTACAGAACAGGTACATGTAAACTCAGTCGCAGCTACGCCAATATCATTAATCAAATTCAATATAGATAGCATACATATATCATTACATTCACTTTTCCACATCCTAAATGTATTTGTTAAATGTAAACAATGTTTGTAAATCCCAGGCTCTGAAGATGATCTCAATAAAGATCGAAACGTTGGCACGATAAAGAAAATGCTTTTCTGAAACCTACATCACACCAGACCGCATCTCACGATTTCTGAATAATTCCAATAACCGAAGAATTCAGACAATTCAATCAAAATCCTTACATCAATTTTCAACAGACACCCCGTTCTCTTCCCAGCTGCATCTTTCATATCAATCAAAATGCTCCCCTCATAAAAGGTATAGTAATATCCATTTACAGAAGATTTCTGCTGTTGAGATAGTCGCCCCCGTGACCTCCTCTCAGTGTTTCATATACTTAGTCAACGATTTAGAAGTGTTATCACCAGAGACCGGATTTTTATGCAGTAAAGATTGCCAAAATATGCCTTGAAATATGCAATAATATGCAATGTGAATACGTTAAAATATGAAATTATATGCAGTAAACCAGTTTTTTTACTATCAAAATACCTTTAAACAGAAATATAGATAATTAAATCTCGGTCTTTATAGATATTACAACTATCTAAAACTAAAAATAATTAAAATTCACAATTATTTAATTTACAAATTTTTCTTTTTTTCTTTTTTTACCCACCAACTACGAGGTTATTTGAACCCTCAGGCTACCGGTGTTTTTGAAAAAAAGCCCATTTGTAAGTATGTCGTGTTCGAATGCACGGCCGCTGGATTCGAACCCGGGACCTTTACCTTACAGTGATTAGCGCCGTGTCAACGCCTAAACCGTTGCGACCACCGACGCCCCCTAGAGTTTATTTACATTTAACAAAACTATTTTTTCACTTACATAATTAAATTATATATTTTATACTAATTGGGTATAATTAATATATGTAAAGTACGTTTTTAAATTGTCTTCCGTGAAATTGTGCCTACGGTCACGTAAAATTTGTGATTATATTGAATATTGAAATAAGACCTAAGAAGGGGTTTTATATTCTTTTGTCGTATTACTGGAATCTTCTCTTTCGTCAACTTATTTTCAGATTTTTTTATGCTTCCCCCGAAAACCAATATAATATTTTAAATATTTTTTCGCGATAAATGCGATTTAAAAAGAAATCTATCTAAAAAATGTAAAAATCAAATATGCGATATTGTTCAAATATGCAATTTTATATCGCATCATCAAATGTGCAAAAATATGCTATAAAATTTAACCTACGGTTTCCTAGAAACATGATTCGGTTCGATTGATTTCCTCGGAGGTATGTGGTGGCAAACAAAATATGCAACTGCATAAATATCCGGTCTCTAGTTATCACACCACTCTATGTAAAATAATGTACTTCTGTATTTAATAGTTACTAAAATCAATAAATAAATTAAAAATAACCAATCACATAACGTTTTTCTTTTTGATTATTCATAGATCGTGAGATGCGGTCTGGTGTGATGTAGGTTTCAGAAAAACATTTTCTTTATCGTGCCATGGTTTCGATCTTTATTGAGATCATCTTCAGGGCTCAAAGTGTTTGTTTTCTGTGTAATTGTGCCATTCTTGCGTGTCGTGTTGAGAGTGCCACAATGGCACACTTACCCGGAAAACAAACACTTTGAGCCCCGAAGATGATCTCAATAAAGATCGAAACGTTGGCACGATAAAGAAAATATTTTTCTGAAACCTACATCACACCAGACAGCATCTCACGATCTCTGAATAATCATCGATTAACACGTAACACATCTCTAATCACCACACGTTTTTCTTTTTCTTCAAAATCATTATTCATACCAAAAAAATTTATTCGGTCAATAACTGCAGAAAGCCGGATGCTTTTCGAGGCATTTTTCTTCGGCGGACGTTTCAGATTTCATAGCAATCACATCGGAATTCGTCTCGGAAGTGCGAGAACCGTTGAAGACGTCTCTGGGACCGTTTATACCTGCCCGGAAAGAGAAGTCATGAAGGGCCGAGTCTCGATCCACTTCGCCATCACGAGAACAATAACAACAACAATAACCGCTCTCCTCTTCTCATCCGCTTATTAGAAGCGCGCCGGTTACGACAGCGCATTGTTTTCTCCCGATCCCCCGTTAATGAGTTTGAAATGAAAGTTTTAAAGCCAGTTACGCAATTGAAATATGTCTCGTTTCGATTAGGATTTATCCAACGGATTCAATTATTAGACGGGCGATCACCAAAGTTTTTGATAAAAACCGGGTCATTTAATCCGTATTTTGGTAAACTTATCATGTGCATAATTAAAATCCTTCTTTTCATTTAATTTGCAAATATTTTAGCAAGAAACATACAAAGTTTGATCATGCAAAGGACGAACTTTTATTTTAGAATTATTGTAAAAATTTAACTATATTTCTGAACTGCCCTGACCGCAAAGCATAATCTTAAAAAACCTGATGCATTATAATTTAAACTTGTGTAGAAATTAATAAAAATAAGTATGTTGATACGCATTTTTTTTAAATCGTAAAGTAAATCGTCTCAGCCGTGCCAAGGTGTGGAGGACTTGAGATTTTCAATGATAAC